CACCCGGGAATCAGATTAATAACCACTTATTAAGCATTTACTATGGGCTAGGTCCTCTGCTCAGTCCTTTAGATACATTATCTCATTTAATCCTTCAAAAAAAAAAACCCTCCCTTTGAAGTAGTACCCGCATTTTACTGATAGTAAATAATTTGCTCAAGAGAACAAAACTAAGTAGGAATTTTGACCCAGATCTATCTGATTTTTAAGTCCATGTTTTGGGCTACATTGTCTGTGAGCTTGCCATACTGGTATAATCTAAATGGGCGAGAATGATAAACTTTGTATATAAAGATATCCTGGCAACAATTTTGAGCACTGATCTCCTAAGGCATTTTTATAGGAGTTAAAAAAAAAGCCCTTTAGGGGTCCTAGTTTTAGTGAAAAATCAGATGCAATTTTATTTTATTTTATGTGTTGAGGCCGAGTTTAACATTAAGTATTTCATTCCAGTTACTTCAAACATTATGATAGGTTAAACACAAAAAAGCATTAGTGATACATTAAGCTCTAGTACACAAAGTAAACAAAAACCACACTATAAATACTGATTAAAGTCTCAATTTAATCATCTCCCCCAGAAGCATGTGACACGCATCAATTTAAGAAAGAAAGAGAAAAACTAAGAAACTGAAGTCAATTAATGCCAAAACATTTTTTCCGAAAGTTTCAGAAAATGGACTAAACCAAGCAAGGATCCATGCATCTGCCAAGTTGAGACACACAGTAAGGGCAAATTAAATTAACTTCATCAAAACTTGACATGAGACCTTATGAAAATGTAAAAACTATCGATGTGAAAATCAATGATTAACTATGTTAAGTGGTAACTTTAAGAAATCACATTTTCAAGTCACACATCATACAAGTGTAATTTAAATGCCAAATAAAGAGGTAATTTGCCCCCCAAAAAGGATAAACTATATCGACTAAACATTAAATCACAAAACCATTATAAAAGTTCCAAGAGATTAAACAGATAAGCGTACCTTCTGTACTTCAAAAGATCATATTTCTACACAGACATTGCATCACCAAGACTTTTGTAAAGGGTGGAGTGCTTTTTTAAAAATCCTATTTTCTTTTACACACTATTAAAAAGTCCCAAATGATTTTTAAAACATATAGGAGATAGCTCAAATATTACGTGAAAAAAGGATGGTTGCCATTTTGTTAAAGAAATCAAACTTCACAGGTGCTACAATATGAATTTTATATTTTATTATAAAAACTTTAAAATGTTGATATTTGAAGATAATAAAAGGAATTAAGAGTAGCAAGCAGGATCTTGTCCTATCACAGTCTGCAAGACTGATCATGTGAAACATACATCCATCTGCTCCTTGTAATTCTCATCTGACTCATATTGCTAGACCAATCTGATCGATACGAAACACTGTTAAAATCAAAAATAAATCCAGTATACAATAATTGTAAGAAATACATTTGAAAACTGAAAAAAAGCAAAATGAGAATAAAAGCTAGGTTGAACATATACTGATACCAACACACGGCACTGCACCTGTGCCCAGCTACTTTAACTAGAAGCGTCTCACAACTATGACTGATATGTGGGTGCGTCTTTAACAAGATTAACAGAACCTGTTTACTTCATCACCTGGAAAGGTATTAACTCCTGAAGTCGCCATCCTGCCAGTCTCTTCCCAGCTTTTCCCAGCAAAGAAAGCACCTCAGCTGCCATGTTGAAGATGCTCTTTCAAGCTCTAGCACAAGTTCCCTCCCATAATGCCTTAAGAACATTCCCAGCATGCATCAGAATGTTTTTTTTTCCCTAGGTCATAGCCTTTTATAATTAGGATCCTATCTATGTGTTGAAATGAGGCAACTTAATGTTTTGAAATGAAGAGATATAGGAGCCAATGTTGCTGCCTACATACTCCAGACACTGCGGATAATTACGTTATATACTCCTCATTTTAAGTGATCACAACACACATGATTTTTAAACATGTAGCTTTCTAAAGTCAGAAGCTGATTATACACAATTTAACCCAAAACCTTTATTTAAGGAATTTTGAGATGAATAAATCATATTCAGAAGTGGCACCTACTGACAAAGCATGGGATGTGACAATCCAACTTTATTAAATAGACATTTTGAAAAATGGAGAAAAAAGGTAAGTTATGAAAGTTATGTGTTTGGAGAGACATATAAAGGGTTCATTGCTGTAGGAAGGGGAGTAGATAGTAGATAGTACAATAGGAATTTCAGTGTTCTACAGCTACTGCTAAAGGTTCCTGTAGATTAAACCTTACTGCTAAATCAGCCCATTGCATGGTATAAACTTAAATTTTGTCTGTAAAAGTCTTATATGTACTGGGTATATTTTTCTCTATGGGTACACAGTTACGATTTTAACACAAGTTGATCACAAATAACTGCATTACAGAACTTTAAAATTAACTTACAGTTAGAATAAATGTGTTCTGTATGAGTGAGGGATTTCCAGACTGTGTATCTGTCCTCTGTCATTTTACCTATTTGTCACACATCTCGTCATCTTACCTATTTTTTATAATAAAGTAATACAACTGTGGGCTACCAACTGTGAGTGCAGGTTCAAAAAAATCTAACCAGCAGAGGAATATCTTCCCAGAGAAACATCTTGTATTACAGAGAGAATTTTGCAACTGCACCTCTTTTGCCACATGACCTACCCTGCACACTTGCTTAAGGAAGAGCCAGTTTAACAGGTTAGTTTTTTGCTAAAGTTGTTTCCCAGTTCTTCACACTGTTAAAAATTATTTTCACAGCAATTTTCTTACAAAATGGCCAAATTAGTCACTACCATTCAGCCACCTGGCCACCATAATGTAAAACTGTACTGAGTTAAGAAACAAAATTCACTCTACTCTTCAGGATTAAATATACCTTATAAGAGAGACCAACAAAAGAACTCAAAGACTGATAAATCTGTTAAAGACCGAAATCTTGTGGCCATTCAGTCAACTCTCAAATATTAGCACTAATGAAGGAGAGATGAGCACAGATATTCCAAAGACAGCAGATCATTCAAAATGTATTTTTGCTCCTAACATTTCATTATGGGTGTATGTGACATTTCAGAAATTGAAGAAGTCTCAACTACAGAAGGAAGCCACGTGAAGCCAAATACAAGAAATGGAAGAGTGCTCCTAGAGTTAACGTCTCCACGCTAGGTTTGGGAAATACTTTCCATTCTGTTCTCTCTCTCATGTTCGTTTACCTGGCCCACGCCTGCATCACTAAGGTAAGTAAGGTGAGGAAGATAAGGGAATTAGGTATTTCTGTTTTGAAGTGTATTTTGGGATATGCCAACTGAAGAGGACTCTCGAAAGTATCTGTGAACTACTGACCAGATGTTCCTGCTAATGCTTCCAGCAACTACTACTCTTCACCATTTTAGTGTGTCTCTTAGACATCTAGAGAGCCTGCAGGCCAACTGCTATGTATAACTGCGTGTGCAGGGGTGTGTATATGTGAGTGTGCCTGCCTGTGTGACAGACAGAGGAAACAGACTCTCTGTGGATAAGTTAACTATACAAGACTGAATACTACTCACAGTGGTACCACAGTCTATTTGTCAAAGGAAATGTTAACCTTCTTGGTATCTTACCTCCTTTGTCAACCACAGGGTAGCATGCTACCTAAGTAGCTGAATTCAGAGCAGCTAATTCTGGTCTGCTGCTGAAAATCTTTTGCCATGTTTAAGATTTTTCTAATGCAAGCTAATCAGCAGGCTTTAGCACTTAGCTATACCAGAAGAGTAAGTCTTTAGAATATCTTTATACTTGGAATTCAAAAATATTTATTAGCACATTAAGAACTACTAGATCTTCTGTTTCAGGTTCATAATCTATTCTAATGAAAGCGATTCTCAGAAGACCAGAAATGCAAGAGAGGCAACGTTGTATACAGAGTTTTGGTCCTGGTTCAGCAGCTTGCTGAGCTGTAAAGACCTAGACCAAATTTAATAACTTGTCATCTCCTCATCTGTAAAATGAGAAAACTGGATTTGAATTTTAAGATATCACAGACAATCAAGTTTTTAAAACAAAGAAGGATCATGGGGGTAATGACACAGTTGACAATTGTCAGGTATAAACATTTTTTTAAAACCTACCATTTACTATCAACATCATTTCAAAAAATACCAAACATATTTAACTCCACAAAATTACAAGGCTATATCTTGTAATAATAAACAATCCTTTAAATGGAAAAAGTTTAGCTTTGAAGAACTCATGGCCTGTTGTCCTTATTTTTCTCACTTTACCTACTATGGACCAGTAAAAACTCTTCAGAGACCAGCACCAGTCTAAAAATTAATGTTTGGAGACTACTGGATTAGGCAATTTTCAAGGCTGAAACCCTATGATTCTAATTTTAGGTCCTCTGTTATATTTCTTTTATTTCATACTATAGTCTAGTGCGGGTACCTAAGTAAGGGGACAGTGCTAACATTTAAATTTTTGAAGGTCAGGAATGCAGTTAAATCAATTTGAGAAAGAGTAACTAGAATAAACCTCAATTTTGGGGGGAAAGTATACACTACTACAGATTTCACTTCATCAGTAATAATGAACCATTCACTGGACACTTACTATTAAGCCCATTTTACAGATGAGGAAATTGAGACAAGGGAAGCTAAACAGCTTGCCAAAAACACACAGCCTATAAGCCTCAGTACTCAGAATTGGATCTCTAATCTATGACTTCATTTTTTGGTATCACTCAAAGAAAAAGATTTCATTTAGATTTTAATCATTACTTCCAATTTATAAATGAAGGACATACAGTTAAAATTTTGGATATTGCACAGGATAAAAAGTTTTCCTATTTTACTTTTCCACACACTGCCTTTCTAACATAGACAGAATTATTGGCAGGTTTTTTTCCCACTAGAAAAATAGTCAAGCTGCCTGTTAGTATGCCCACTTAATTTTTTCCTACTAAAGTTGATAAAATGACAAATTTAGGTTTTTCAAGCAGTACTTACAGATTTCCTCTTTTTCTCTTAAGAACACGTTTATCTTTCGTGATTTCAATCTGCAATAAGAGACAACATTTATGGGTTCAGTGACATGAGAAAAGAACCCCTTCAAAAAAACTCAATTCACAATCACAACATAAGCTGGTCACAGGAACAGTAGTACAGTACAGAGAATACACTTAATGATTCTGTTACATCTTATGATGCTGATAGTGACCAAACTAGAGTGTGCGGATTCTATCACACTCGTGTGAGGATATAGTAACACATGTAACTGTTGAACCACTGTGTTGTATATTTGAAACCAATATAAGACTGTATGTCAATGATATTTTTATTTTAAAAAAAAAGAAAAAAACTCAAGTGCCATTTCATGTTACCTGTACACCTTAAGTCATGATGAGACAGGTACCAAAGGAAAAACAAGAAAGGACTACAGATGAATGCCTGACCAGAAGTAATTCTAGCACAATCTCAGAAAAGTAACTGAGCCTGACTATAACAACTAGTAGTAACAACTCTATAGGAAAATGGCAAGATTAAAGAATGGGAAGAGGAATTGAATAGACATTTTTCCAAAGAACACATACAGATGGCCAACAGGTACATGAAAAGGTGCTCAATGTCACTAATCATTAGGAAGTGCAAATCAAAGCCACAATAAGAGATCACCTCACACCTGTCAGAATGACCATCATCATAGCATAACAAGTATTGGCGAGGATATGGAGAAAAGAGAACCCTTGTGCACTGTTTTTGTTCATGGGCATTTAAATTGGTTCAGCCATTATGAAAAACAGTTCGGAGGTTCCTCAAAAAATTAAAAATACAACCATCATATAATCCAGCAATCCCACTTCTGGATATATAGCCAAAGGAAATGAAAACAGGATAGAGAAAGATATCTGCAATCCCATATTTATTCACAGTAGTCAAGATATGTAAATAAACTAAGTGTCTGCCAACAGATGGATAAAGATGTGGTATAAATACAATGGGGTATTATTCAGCCATGAGAAAGAAGGAAATCCTGCCATTTGCAACAACATGGGTGGACCTTGAGGGCATTATACTTACTGAGGTAAGTCAAAGACAAACATTAGCACTTACACAGGAATCTAAAAAAGCTGAAGTCCTAGAAACAGAGTAGAATGGTGGTTCCCAGGGCTGGAGGGTAGGAGAACTTGGGAGATGTTGTGAAAGGGTACAAATTGCAACTAGAAGTTAAGTAAGTTCTGGAGCTCAAACACACACCATAATGTTTCTAGTCAACAGTACTGTGTTATATACCTCAAAGTTACTAAGAGACTAGGTCTTGAATGTTCTCACCATAAAGAAGAAATGATAGTTATGTGATATGATAGAGGTGATAGCTAAAGCTATAGAGGTAATCATATTGTAACACATAAATGTATCAAATCAATACATTTTAAACTTATACAATGTTATCTGTCAATTATATCTCAATAAAAAAAGAAAAGAAAATGGCAAGAAGCAGGAATCATGTTTTTAATCATTTTATTTATACCTCTTATCCTCCGCAGTCAGGACAGGAGCCAACTTCAAAGACAAAAGCTGTCAGACCTAGGAAACTGGAGTAGGAAACTGGTCAGTCAATCTTCCCAGACATCACCACCCCCAAATGCCTGCAGGCACCTTGCTATTTTCCCATTAAAACCAAAAATGAATCATTTGCTTTAAATAATGCAAAGCTCTTTCCAAATTCAAATACAGCACTGGTCTAGGTAGAAACCGAGATATTCTCATCTTCCCTCAAGACACAACTCCGTTTTGTGATGTTCTTCAAGATACAAATGCTATGAAGGTTTAGGGTCAGTTTACAGTTGAGGATTAACCTATTTTGGACAATGTAGGAGAAAACTACTTATCATCTGAATACTCAGAGGAGTAAAATAATGCGCTTCAATCATCTGATATTGTTTACTTAAATTTCACCACCATGAATGCCCTGGGCATATTATGTATATGACTCTGAAGAAGAACTGAGGTTTCATTTTCATCCAGTAGTACTCAGTGCTACTTGTGAGACAAGGACTGTGGATGTAGTCAGAGTAGGGTGAGGGCCTCCGGAGGGGGCAGGGCGGGATATTTGCAATCAGAGCAATGTAACTACATGCAAGGAAACCCCCCTACTCAAACTCTACGTTAAACATTAAGCTCTAGAATCATTCTTCAGTGAGATCAGTTAATGTTCCCCACATAAAGAAGAGTAGCAATGTTTTATTATGCTAACCATTTATAATCATGTGTAAGATTCACTTTAGCATACTAAAAGCCCCAGGCCTATGTGCTGTCTTTCCTCCTTCAGATTTGATGAAGTGATTTTGCAAACTGGGCACCTAATTTATAGCAATTAAGCACAGGCATAAACAACACAGTAAAAGGCAAGAAGGATTCCACCTTAAAGATAAGATTGCATTTTAATACCCAAGAAGTTAAAACGTTAGAAATTCTTAACTTACTCTTTAGCAAATACCTCAGCCCACCTTGGGGGCTGAGCAGGTGGCCTTGTTTCATATGCTCCCAGACCAAGATGCTGGTATCTCAGAGAGAAATCATCAGAGGAAGTTGCTTGTGTTAAGTTAATTCTAAATATTCAGGGACCACTTAACAAACCCACACCCCTAAGTTTTTTTCATGTTCTTGGAAAAACCCCCAACTGCCTATAAAACCCCCTAGACAACGCACCACTAGGGACTCTCCTGTCCCCTCCAGGCGTGAGCCAGGAGCTCTGTCCTTTCACTTTATCTCTAAATAAAGCCTGTACCTTGCTCTCCTACCTTGACTGTTTGTGAAGCTCATTCTTCGGCTTTGTGAACAAGAACCCCAGCATCACTTGCATATGATTATGAGAATAACCCTTCAACTGTTGTTTTTAATCTAGATACCCCAAATGGAAGTCTCAAAACAAACAACCATATAACTAATCACCACACTAATTAGCTGGCATTAATTCAGATGGTTAATTTTCTCCTTTGCTTCCATTAGAAGGATGAAAGTAAAGAATGATTTATACCCAGACCTATCACTAACTGAGTATACCTTTTGTTTTGTTTCACAGAACAACTTTTCAACTTCAATATCCACAATCTACTTTTGGGCAGAGGGTGCTGGTGACAGTATCAGTACATGTATGAACACAAATGGTTAAGACTATTTATAAACAGAAGGCATTCTATTCAACATTTTCTTTTTTCCTCCCAGAGGGCTAACATTTGATATTAACACAAAGAGACTAAAACTGTACATACACATATTAAAATGAAATCCAAAGGGCTCAAAAGAGAATGTTGTGAAAGGAAAATATATTTCTATATATGTATAAATATATACATATAAATGTATGTATTACCCTCACAGATTAATTCAGATAACTGATAACAAAAAAACACCTTCTATAAAATCATTTGAAGACCTATGGGGCAGGGGATGTGAAAAACTAACCACTAGTTTGCTTAATTTGTAAAGTCATTTCATCAGTAAATATTTGCAAAGGATAGTTAACACTTGGTTATTGGCACAATGGAGGGAGAAGCTGGAGAGGATATTAAAAATTGTCAGAGAATTCTCTCAGTATCAGCCTTCTACTTATTTGCGGCCTTACAGCCCTCGACCAAATGGAGATGAAGCAACTCTCAGAGGTTCTTCAATACAAAAGACAGACATCATTTTTCTCAGTGCCTATAACCTTAAAGGTCATTTCTTTCATCATAAAAAAAGATAGAGAAACAGCTGCCCAGCAGATAAAAGGCAAACAAATCACATTTCCTAACCTAGCCTAATTAAGTTTATCTACACAACACAAAAACTGACCTTGCGCTGACCTCTCTCATGGCCACTCTTACCCACCCCTACAAAACAGGGCCCTCCTCTTCAAGTTATCCTATTAAAATAAATTGCAGAAATAATTTAATATAAAAGACCAAAGCAGATTATCACCATGAAGTTTCTATTTACAGAGGAATGGTAAGAGGGATGATTCAGCTAAAATTATAATGCAAATTTTAGACATACTTTTCACTTTCATAGGTATGCAAGTTTTTATAACCCTTAGCATAGCAAATTTTTAAGCAGACTGAAGCATATAATATGGTTTGTTTCTCCTTAACAATTACTTGGCGGCATGAAAAAAATAATACAGCACCTAGAATTTGTCATATTTCAATCAGGGAATGAGGCAGCACTGAGAAAGCCTTACTCACTGAACACCAGGGAGCAAAACAGTGTCCAAGCCGCTAACAAGAGAGTGACAAAGAGGAAAACAATACACATAGAAGGCAATGTTGTTCAACTTCATTCAAACAACCCTCATATTTTGAAACAAACTTAAAAACAAACAATTTATGTGCTTAGTTTTTGCCCTCATTGAAAGTAAGTTAGTCTGTTAACCAGTATTTTGAAAACATTCTTCCAGAAGTCAATACTAAACTTGTGATAGCACTTGTTCAAAATGTTTCAAGCACGATGAATCCCCATGCCCCACCCCCATACTTAATGTCTCAAGGACCAATCTTATTAAGTTTAAAAGAGTATGTTTCAGAAAAGGACTATTAACAAAGTCCTATGCACTTAGTGTTCAAATCTAAAAGTAAATTCTGGTGAGTCCCTTACAAGACAATTCCCAGCAATGATCTTTTATAATAGGTCTTGTTTTAGATAAATACGTATGTCATATATTGTGCTAAGTACTTAGTGGATGAAAACTGCCATACTCAAATGCAATTCAAAGGTTACAAATGTTGAAATCAAGAAGTAACACAGGTACAGAAGAGTATGTATGACTACATTATACACACGTATATTTTGAGTGGGTACATATTCACAGAAAAATGAGCAAGATACTCACCAAATATTAATGCTAGTTATTGCTATGTAGTAGGACTACAGGTAAATTTTATGTTTTAATATTTTTGAGTTTTTGGCATGTTTAAGATTTTTCTATTCTTTGTGCTGATTCATCATCACCTTCCAGAATATCCATAAAAACTGTTTATATAAAAACTGATTTTTAAAAATCATAAAAAAGGAAACAACTCATTTAAAACTGGCCTAAGAGACAACCACACCATCCAAACTACTGGAGGGGACTGCTGAGAATCTAAGCTACAGCAGAATGTTTTCCTCTTAAGAACATACTAGAGTATGAGTGGCCCAGGAGTCTTAAATGTTTTTAAGATTGTGGGTCACTTGAGTCATACAAATTAAAATGTTATTAAAGAAATGTTATAACCTAAGTAAAACTGCCAAAAATCTATCCTGTATAGTGTTGAGAGTATGGAGATAATTCCAGAGAGGCATAGATTAGAAGGCTGCTTCACGAACAAGTTAGGTAATCTAAAACAGAAAGTGTTTTTAAAATATTCATTATCTCAATAAAGCAGTTTCAAAAAATTCAAACATAACACAATTAGAATACAAAGTGAAAGGATCATTTTTATTCAATCCTCCATAAATAACAGCTTTTAATAGTTTGGTGGATACCATCAGGGACTTTTTCTAAGCATTTTCTAATACACGCACACACAATTTTTTAAACATAAATTGAATCATACTATCTGAGGGCCTGCAACCTTCTTTTTTAAAAAAAAACTATTCTTGTACATGGTCTTACATGGTTTTTCCATGATAGAGCACACAGATCTGACCATATCAAATTAAGTCTAACCAATCTTTCCTATTGATTGACATTTTTCATTTTTCTAATTTCTCATCATTAGAAATACAGCAATGAACATCTTTAGTAATATATTTATGCCAGTGCTTCTATAGGATGTATTTCTAGCAGAATTGCTGGATCAAAAGGGCATACTATTTTAGATTCTAGTCTATTAAAGTTGCCTCCCAGGTCTAGAAGCAGAAGACACCTAATAGCGATGACCATATCTAGCACCAAAATCTTGGGTTTCCAATTACCATTCTCCAACAGAAAGAAACAGGCTCTTTGGAGAGGTAGCTGATTCAGAGCCAAGTCAGGATAAATAAAAGTTGAGCCTGGTATCTTCTGGTGCCAGAAACTAAGGAAGTACTTTAAAAAAGGTGTGACAGGTTTAAAAGACATAGGGGCCGACCCAAAAGAGCTCCCAGTGATCAAAGCTGGAACAATTTGAGGCACAAAAGAAATAACAATAGTATTAGATTATACTCCAAAGAACAAAATAAATGCATATGAGTCCATACTAATACAAATATGTGATTGAAACAACTAACTGAAGGACAAGACACAAGTCTTCCTTATAGAAGAATCCTAATTAATAAATATGGAAGAAATAAAGGAAATAAAAAATCTCCATTAGAATGCCACAGTAATAACTGATACAGGCAAAATCCACTGGTGGATGCTAACACTGGTGAGTGAAAGCTCAAAGCTGGAACTGGATATACACATGGTTTCAAAGTAGCTCCCTCAAATATGCATTAATATAATAAATAATATAACTATAATATAAATAATATAATATAATATAATAAAATATAAGTATTAATATTTGTTAGCTGCAAAGAGAGAAACTGTAACTTTACTGTGGAGAAACATAGCTGACACTACCTTAACCAGGTGACCAAGGTTATGATCACCAGTAACAAGGCACACTAACATCAAGTACCCCAACATACTGCACTGAGAAGGACGCGTCATCGCTTTTGTGGTATTTTTGCCCAAACTGCATAATCTAAGTCTAACCATGAAAAAACATTAGGTAAACCCAAATTAGGAGCAGTGTGCAAAGTAACTGACCTGTATTCTTCAAAGCTGTCAAGGTCATAAAAGACAAAAAGCCTGAGGAGCTGTCATGGACTGGATGAGATGAAGGAAATACAACAACTAAATGTAATGTGGGATCCTGGAACAGAAAAAAAATGTTAGTAGCAACACTAATAAAATGTGAATAAAGTCTGTAGTTTAATGAATAGCATTGTCCCAACATTAAGTTCTTAGTCTTTGGTAATTGTACTATAATATAGTTATGTAAGATGCTAACATTAGGGGGAGCTAGGTGTACAGTCCATGGAAATGGTGTGCTATTTAAAGCAGCTCTCTTGTGAAAGTCTAAAATTAATTTCTAGAAATATTTTTGAACACCCTCTAAAAAAGAATGTATCATTTCACATTCCCAGCAGGAGTATATTAATGTGCCCATTTCCCCACATCCCCTCAGACACTGGATTGGATTGACCTTTGTTTGATAGGTACCAAAAACAGTTTTAACTTGGTATTTTTCAATGAACTTAAGAAAATATTTCACTATATCTGAACTTCTTATATAAATAACTTCTTCGAGTCCTTCATCCATTTTTTTCATTTGATTACTCGCTTTTTCTTAGTGATGCATAAAAGCCCTTTATATATTAAGGAAATAAGCATTTATATATTATGCTTTTATATATAAGTATATTATGCTTTATATATAAGCATTTATATATTATATATTAAATAAGCATTTCCTTAATATATATATATATACACATATATGTATATATATATATATAATACATTTATATGATGTATTATAAATATTTTTCCCAGTAGAGCATTTCTCCATTCTGGGTGCTTTAGGCCAAACACTGGTTTTTAAGTTTTAAGCAGTAATATGCATCAGTAGTCTCCTTTGTGGCTTCTGGGTCATTTTCCTACTTCAAAATTTAAAAATTATTCCCTCATACCTCTTTAAAGTGTGATTACCAGGTCAAAGATAGATCTTTCTTTGGTATGTGTGGAATGGTGGGTGGGACAAAACTCTTGATATATACTACAGAATTACATTCCAGAAAGGCTGTACCTAATTATACTTCCATTAGTATGCATTAAATATTTTCCTATAAATTTTAATATTAATGTTAAATCAAGATTAAAAGAACATTTACCCAACCTCTCCTCCACCCAAAATAAACCACTTACTGCCTTAGAAAAAGTCATATTCACATTCTCCAAAGTTCTCATTTCAGAGACTTTATTCATGCTCTTCTTTCTACCCAAAATTCTGCTTAAAAGCCACCTTTTCTGGGATACCTTCCCTAACACCTCAAGCTAAAATTTCCAGCCTTTTTTTGAATTTATAAGTCTCCTCTAACAGCTCTAAACTTGTATTATATTGCCTCATATGTGAATTTATCTTAATCACTTTTCTAAACAGTAAGTTTAATAGGACAAGGATTGTGTCTTATTACCTCTATGACCTTTGGCTTAGAAATAGCATCAAATATTTGTTGGAATGGATAAGAGAAATTACCTAACACTTGTCAGAGAATACAGCTGGTTTAAATCATTATTTTTTTTTCACAATATCAGCCTTCACTTCATTTGTAACTCTTTTTAAGATAGGATTTTTTTTTTACAGTATCCTCCATTATCCTCTTCAGCAGATATGTGGGGAAAGTATTTTTAACAAAAAACTGCCATTATATTTTGGAATGATGATAATTTTAGCCAAACAGAATTCATTCTAATTGTAATTCAAAAATTATTATTTTCAGTGCTGGAAGAGCATATACATGGCAAAAATGGATATTTCTTTGCATATTTAAACCTGTAATATTCTGGGGTATTTTGTTTCACTTTCTCAATTTTGAATAAATGCTTATTTATGCTACGCCCATTGTCTTTACCGAAGCTGAAAGACAGTCTGAGTGCCAAGAGAAATATTCCAACTGTACCTAAGAATTCTGTTATCACCCATTTTGTTACATAACTGCTCCCTCTATAATTAGTATGGCAAACTAAATATATATACATATATGCATATTATGTGTACCTATGTGTATGTATGCATATATGTGTGAATTTTGTGTGCATATACATATATATAGCACCTAGCCTACAATGTCAGTACTGGACTTTACCTGGAACAGGAAGATAGACTACATGCATATAAATTCTACTCTTCACATACAAGGTTGTAGACTTTCAGAACCAAAATAGGTTTTAAAATAAAATTAGTGAACTAGCCTCTAAAAAGAAATTCTTCCCACTTTCCTTTCCAAATGACCATGGAAACAAAAATAGGGTCTGCTTTCTAGAACATTAGGAAAGAATCTTATGTGCTTTCCCCATACAGTAAAATTAAGAATTTCTTTCTTATCAGTATTGATTAGTTTTATTGTAAAGATGAATGTGAGAATATTAGAAAACAACAAAAACACGTACTACTCCTACTCCTACCCCTTTGGTTACCGAAGATTAAACTATGAGCAGTATCAAGAGGGAAAAATACATTCTCTTTAAAAATTCTCAATATACCAATTGCATTTAAATAAGAATTTTTTTTAAGTCACAAACATCAATAAATCACTTGCAAGGTCCACCTAATATATCACGACTATTATGAAATAACCGCTGGAGAAAAAATGTTTTAAAAGATTAAAATTGCTGTTGCACTGGTAAATCTTGACTCAGGACCAACAATCTTACCATACTGACTTTTAAACTTTTGGAACAAATAGATTACATAATATCAAACACTGGACTTAACCAAATCTCTTCCAAGTGTAGTCAAGTGTGTTGATACATGGATGATTCTGTATTTATAAGGCTTTCATTAAAACAATACTTGAAAGAAGTGTTTGTGACTTTAGGTGATCTTGACCAGAAATTACTCCCGTATAAACTTCCCAAAAATCCGTGCAATTTTTGCCAGAAGTTGTATTTTGTTCTTAAAGATAACAAAAACACAAGTCTTAATAAATATATGCACAGAAAGGACTAACCTATGATAAACAAGAAGTACTCATGGAACAATAATTTTAGGAGGAAAAAATTAGCACTTTCCCCTAAAGTTGAGATTGAATAAACTAATTGAGAGAGGAAAATATATTTTTAGGAACACAGGCTCTTAGAGCTAAAATGTGGCTAGTTTTCATGATCCTCAAAGCATCTGGGGCTACCAGTTCCTTGTAGAACTACTGCTTATTTACATCCTCACTTCCATTTCTGCCGCAAATAATTTTCATTTAATAAAATAACAGCAATGCACTGGGTTCCATCAAAAGGAGGGCCAATTAAGAATAAAGAAATTATTCGATGCTGCCAAAATGTATACAAAAAGGCACTTTATATACAGCTTGACAGAAGTATAAATTGGTACAAGCTTTAAAGAAAGCCACTTGGGAATATGCATCAAGAGGCCTTAAGTCAAACCTCATGACCTAGTAATTTCACTTTCTGCTTCTAGGAATACCTTAAGGAAATAGAAGTACACACACAAAAAATGTAGACAAGAATCATCACTGTGATGTAGACAACAGAAAAACTATAAATAATTTCAAAGGCCCAAAAGGAAACTGGTAAAATAATGATGTATCCATATGATCAAATACTATAGTCATCAAATGCAACATTGTCAAAGAATATTGAAGGATATGAGAAAATGCTCAAGATATATTAAGTGAAATTGGTTTAAGGTGAAACTTCCAGTATCAACTTCTTCAAATACATGCAGGCTACAAACTGAAATGTTAATCTCTGGGATGTAGAATTACAGGTGATAGTTTTTTTCTTGTATTTTTTTCTCCTACATTTTCTAAAACTTCTACAGAGAACATAACTTTCATCATTTAATAAATAAGTAGAAAATATAGCACCAGTCTTTCAATTAATTCTAGTGTGTGTCTGTGTATGTGTATGTTGGTAAATGACAGTGCACATGGCCTCATAAGGTGTTTTGCCCTACACCCTATGCCAAGTGGCAAAGTGATACTGTTAAAGGAGCCAAAACTGCCCTGTGTAAAGAACAAGACACTTCTGTTATAAATTAAACTCAAAGTAAAATAAATGTTTTTGCTCATGTAATATCTACGAAGCTAAACAAAATTAAGTTTCTTTTTTCTTGCTATAACTATGTTTCCTAAAGCTAAACTTCCTTGTGGTCTCCTATATCAAAATGAGACAATTGCTAGCAAGCAAATAGACAGTATCAAATGGCCAGACAATCATGAGGGGTTCCACACAGACGGAATCTAAATCATTTCTTTAAAGCCCAGTGTTCCACTCACTTATCCTATTAAAACAACTCTAATGCCAGATGGTATCTGGGGAAGACTTAATCCTTACACTCTTCTGCTCCATAAGGAAAATGTTTTTCAGCTGAGCAGAATCAGCCCCTGGGTGAATTGGGGCCTGTTCCCAGGAGAGGTTATCACAAGGACAAGGCACCAAATGGGTATTAATTCTTTGCTTTCTACACAGGAGAACGGATTATGAGCGAGGGGGATGTCAGGTAGTTTACCCATTAGTACCCACTTATTTACAACCTGAACTCTAGGGGAACTTAAGAGGCTATCATCTTACCTAAGACTGTCTTGCTTCAGACATTCCCATCAACTATGACATCATGTTACAAATGCGTACTAGCTGACTTCAAAACGGAGGTGGCAGAAAAAAGGCTGAATCATTTCTTTCCCTCAAAGTTTTCATTTCAAAATGTTTCAGGCAACACTGAAGCATTCATTAAGTAATCTCACTTCCTGTTAAGGCCCACACAGCCACAAATGTGTCCTGCAATAACCTCCATGGGGCCTAGGCAGCACAGAGTTCCCAAGACCAAAAATTATCAAAAGAATATGGTTGAAACTGCAATATACAGTAACACCTTTACTTGAAAATTAATGTTTTATCTCCAAAGTAAAGGAAAATCTATCTGTGGCTGCTGGTTAACTCGACTGGGTTGAGCCAGTGCTTCTGAAGCTAAGCTCACAAATTTGGTATCTGTATGAATTGGTTAAAACGACAGAGATCACATTTCCAAGCTCGCCAAAGTCTGTCCCCAAGGTTTCCCTGCCATCCTGGCACAATTGTTATCAGACACCCCCCCCCTTTCTTTTTTGGCAAAGACATTTCTAGTGATGACTC